CAGTGCCTGTATAAAGACAACTATAACTTTATATTGACAGCCACTGTGTCAGTGCCTGTATAAAGACAACTTTCACTTTATATTGACAGCCACTATGTCAGTATTTAATTCAAGACAACTTTTACTTTATATTGACAGCCACTGTGTCAGTATTTAATTAAAGACACCTATAACTTTGTATTGACAGCCACTGTGTCAGTATTTAATTAAAGACAACTTTTACTTTATATTGACAGCCACTATGTCAGTCCTACCATGACCTGGCCTCTACATATGCCACAAACAACCCTGCAGATCTACACACAACCGTCACTAAGCATGTGGAGGTATTCATAAGGGTAGGTAATAACAGCTGTGCTGGTTAAACTAATGTAACGTAGAGTGTATTAACACTGAGTCAGTTGTCTACACATCACAGCTGAATCAGTTGTCTACACTTCACAGGTGAGTAAATTGTCTACACTTCACAGGTGAGTCAATTGTCTACACTTCACAGGTGAGTCAATTGTCTACACTTCACAGCTGAATCAGTTGTCTGCACTTCACAGCTGTATCAGTTGTCTACACTTCACAGGTGAGTCAATTGTATACACTTCACAGGTGAGTCAATTGTCTACACATCACAAGTAAGTCAGTTGTCTACACTTCACAGCTGAATCAGTTGTCTACACATCACAGCTGAGTCAGCCAACACAACACTGGACACAACACAGAACAGCCAACACAACATTGAACACAACACATAACAGCCAACACAACACAGAACAGCCAACACAACACTAGACACAACACAGAACAGCCAACACAACACTAGACACAATACATAACAGCCAACACAACACTAGACACAACACATAACAGCCAACACAACACAGAACAGCCAGCACAACACTGGACACAACACAGAACAGCAAACACAACACTAGACACAACACAGAACAGCTAACCCAACACTAGACACAACACATAACAGCCAACACAACACTAGACACAACACAGAACACCCAACACAACACAGAACAGCCAACACAACACTAGACACAACCCAGAACAGCCAACACAACACTAGACACAATACATAACAGCCAACACAACACTAGACACAACACAGAACAGCCACCACTAGACACAACACAGAACAGCCAACACAACACTGGACACAACACAAAACAGCCAACACAACACTGGACACAACACATAACAGCCAACACAACACAGAACAGCCAACACAATACTGGACACAACACAGAACAGCCAACACAACACAGAACAGCCAACACAATACTGGACACAACACAGAGCAGCCAACACAACACTGGACACAACACAGAACAGCTAACACAATACTGGACAGCCAACACAACACTGGACACAACACATAACAGCCAACACAACACAAGACACAACACAGAACAGCCAACACAATCCTGGACAGCCAACACAACACTGGACACAACACAAAACAGCCAACACAACCCAGAACAGCCAGCACAACACTGGACTCAACACAGAACAGCCAACACAACACTAGACACAAACAGCCAACACAACCACAACACAGAACAGCCAGCACAACACTGGACTCAACACAGAACAGCCAACACAACACTAGACACAACACAGAACAGCTAACACAACACAGAACAGCCAACACAACACTCAGCCAACATGACACTAGACACAACACAGAACAGCTTACACAACACTAGACACAACACAAAACAGCCAACACAACACTAGACACAACACAAAACAGCCAACACAACACTAGACACAACACAGAACATTTAACACAACACAGATCAGCCAACACAACACTAGACACAACACAGAACAGCTAACACAACACAGATCAGCCAACACAACACTAGACACAACACAAAACAGCTAACACAATACTAGACACAACACAGAACAGCTAACACAACACAGATCAGCAAACACAACACTAGACACAACACAAAACAGCTGACACAATACTGGACACAACACACAACAGCTAACACAACACAGAACAGCCAACACCACACTGGACACAAGACAGAACAGCCAACACAACACTAGACACAACACAGAACAGCCAACACAACACTGGACACAACACAGAACAGCCAACACAACACAAGACACAACACAGAACAGCCAACACAATACAGAACAGCTAACACAACACAGAACAGCCAACACAACACTGGACACAACACAGAACATAGATACACACATAGGTATATCTTTTTATACGCCCATCAAATTTGACGGGAGTGTTATGGTATAGGGTTGTTCGTTCATCCTTCTTCTCTGGAACTAAGTGATGGTTATCAACCATATTTGACTGGAAGCATTCTAAGTGGTTGGGATTCAAAATTGTACAAATGGTGGGGCTGACCCCCCAGGGGGCTGTAGAACTATGCACTGGATATCAATCATAATTGATCAAAAGCAATCATGGGAGTTAGGGATACAAAATTGTACAAATGGTGGGGCTGATCCCCCAGGGGGCTGAGGGGCGGGGCGAGCCAACAGGGGGCAATTTGATTATATATTGCTACAAATAACTTCTTCTGTAGAACTATGCACTGGATATCAATCATAATTGATCAAAAGCAATCATTGGAGTTAGGGATACAAAATTGTACAAATGGTGGGGCTGATCCCCCAGGGGGCTGAGGGGCGGGGCGAGCCAACAGGGGGCAATTTGATTATATATTGCTACAAATAACTTCTTCTGTAGAACTATGCACTGGATATCAATCATATTTGATCAATAGCATTCATGGAAGGCAGGGATACAAAATTGTACAAATGGTGGGGCTGACCCCCGGGCTAAGGAGTGGGGTCACAAAAAGTTTATTACTTGGTTGAAATCCCCACTGTATAACCATACCAGAGTGTATACAGTGTAACAGGTCCCCTCCCCTGTTATAGATAGAGAGTGTATACACACTGCATCA